TATGCGAATCCGAATTCTTAGCTCTCACCATGGTGCCGTGCAACAAATTCTGCCTTGCAATGATAGTGTGTGATAGTGGTACCGGTATCGTATTGGGTCGGCATCAAAAATCAAAACTTCGCAGAATATTCCAGGCTAAAAAGAAGATGACTGGCAGAAACGAACATATCTTATGGATCAGGAGAGGCCCCAACTTCGTCAACATATCGTGCTCGAGAAAAAAGCGTAGCATTTCAAATGCGCGTTAGACGGTCAGGCATGCATGCATCCGCATGCACGTTGATTTACTCTAATGCAAAGTATGGTTTACGGGCTAGGTGCTCTATCTGCAGGCATCTCGCAGAAACTTTGCCGACATACCTGGGTTTAAGACGCCATTGTTCATCCTGGGCCTATGACCGCGAAGAGGGATTGCAGATGGAGACGCAGCGCGCGGCATGTCCCCGTACACAAGCCAGTGATAAACGCCCTACCATTCCTGGCTTGTGGCGTAGTCCAAAATTTCCAGAAAGGAAAACACTGGCGGCAAACGCAGATAAGCAGACCGCCAGAACCGACGTGAAAAACGTGCTGTTCAGAAAAGCTCTTACCGAGCTTGAGTTCAGAAAGGGCGAGTTATTTTCTATCAGCAACGGTACACATGCCAAAGAGTACGGATATACGCATGCCGAAAACACATTTCCGATATTTACTTTAATAAGATATCAATTTATTGAATTAGATGAAAGCTATAAAAAAGGCAAATGCTGCTTTTCTATTGCGTTTTTGTTGAGCGCCTGCAGACTTCTCCGTTGATCTGCATGGAAAAGTTTATGGAGCATCCTATAAGCTTAAAACACTATTTTTGTGAGCACTTACGGATTTGGTAACTATGGCGTGAAAGTGATCGGACCAAGCATCCTAAGAAAATGTGTAAAATTGGCGGAACAGAGATTCTATTCCCTTCAGCTCACATGATGATACATGATCTCCCCTCTCATGGGAACAAAATCATCATTGACAAATGCCAATTTTTCAATCGATGCGGGTCAATTGACTTGCCTCAAAGTGAAGAAATTACCTTGACTCGGACAAAATAACCCGGACATCGGGTCAAAGGTATGGCCTGGACAGGTACGGCCGGCGGCCGCTGACAGCGGCCGTGATAAAGGTCAGGTGACGTCAGAGGGCAGGACGGACCGTGCCGAACATTACAGCGCGTTAAAATTTCGCTGCCATATTAAGCGGTTGACATGGAATTGCGCAATCGGATGGTGGGGTCAGGGCTCGCATAACAAGCACTGCTTCGCGTGAGCTTTCATACCAGAAATCCACCCATTCCTAAGGTTCAAATTGAAGCTGAAAAATATTTCATACTAAGGTTTTGAATTGTTTTCGCTGACATTGACATTATTGAAGCCTCTCTCAAGGCAACTTGTTCCAGACTTGGCTTACAGTGCCTTTTTGTTGGCGTGATTTAATGGAATATCTGGTACCAGCGAGAGCGATCATAACTCGGAGCCAGACTGCACACTCCTACAGCATTGTTCAAAACCAGTATTCTATCTATACTGCACTCTCTTCAGCTATCACGGTCATATGCACTGAAGAAGTATAAATCGGTTAGGTGTTCTCGATAACACCGGCTCAGCCAGATCCACGCCTTTACAACGTCGCCGTTTTCATGAAACGGCCTACCGTTCGATAGTCGACGGCCGGGAGCCGCCGAACTCGGTAATCAGGCACTGGTATGGCGTCTGACTCGATAATCGGGCGCACAAAGGCGCCGCTGAGAGCAGGGTATAGCCTTGCACGGTGGGCGGCGGCGGCTGCCAGCGCCGCGTCGCCGCGATAGAAACGGTTCAGGGGCGGCACAGGACACAGGAAGCGGTCACGTCACGTGGGAGGCGGAGGGTGATCATGATGTCATCTCCGAACCCAAGGAGATCACCGCGACGAGATCACCACAACGAGATCATCACGACGAGATCACCACGACGCGTGGGAGCCCGGAAGCCGATTACGTGTCGCACGGAAAACCCAGTGGCGGCCGTCTGTGAAAGAGGCGCTGATGGCTGAAGCTGCGAGGCTGTTGAAGTGCCCCTTGTCGTTGTCGTTGGTCGTCAGCGGTGCGAAGTGATCCAGTGATTTGGTTTGTTCCTGCTGGCGTCAAAGTGTGTGCACTAGGCTTTGTTTTGGAAAATAAGCTGAGGTTGAACAGGAAAAATGCTTAAAGCGTCTTCAAAATAAGCAAAAACAATTTTTTTGTCTTGTTTCCGTTCAAGGACAAGTTTATTTCAGGGAAAGAACATCTACTCAAATCAAATACGCTTTTTCAGACACATAGCTTCCCGCAAAAATCTGCGCAACTGGCCTGCAACCTTGAATTTTACCACGCTAACTTGAGGGCGGCAGCGAACCTTTGCGAGCGTATGAGTTGTCTTATGTGCGTAAACGTGGTGTCTGCTTTGTTTGTGTGCTTTGTGTCTGCATTTTGATCTGTGTAATTACCTCTTTGCCTCCAAGCATTACAAAATCAAGTGATGCATATCATTTTAACAGATCTATTTCATCCCGAATAACCAGCGTTGAACTGCAAGCCAAGCTCTAGCGGTTTTTAGCTCTAGTTCAGTGGCATCGATTTTTTAGGTGAGTGACTGTTGGTTTGGTTCTTTGGCCATGATTATCACGAGAACCTGTATGGGCGCCAAACCTTGTGGAAAAGAATGCGACTTTGAACCTTATTGTAGTTCTTGATTTGTCGGTAATCAATTTTGCGCAATTCAGCGTTGGTATGCTGTTTAAACATTTAAACTTGGACGTTTCCAAAACCAAAGCGTGATCATTTCACTTTCTGAAACACAGAGTGGACATTGTCTTTAAGCCCCCCTATTGTTCTCAAAATGCATTTTTCAATGTAGTGTGATTATCGATCTTGACTGATTATACTTGAAGTATGCCGATTTTGCTGCGCAAAGATACTTCTTGAATACTAATTTCAGCGAAACATCCAGTGCCACGCAGATAGTTTGTTGTTAGGCAGCTGTTAGTTGGTTTTATCGTTGTACATTTCTTGTCGACAAAAGTACTATAAGACACTGACACTGGCGTTGCTTGGAACCCCTTTGGCTCTCCGCCGTGCGCCTCGGTTAGCAAAGGCTATTGACATGCGTGCTCTAACTTGTGATGGCAAGCTTCGGATGTGGCAGTCATGGCACAGGAATGTTCATTGTAAGCTAAAAAAGGCTTTCAGCTGTATTTTTCTGGAGGGGGGCAGCCGTCCCTATATTTTCATGAAAGAGATCGGCTTTGAGGTAAAGCTCCTTATTATCCCATTTTTAATATCACATTTTTTATTTTACGCGATCGCACGACCAAATCCTTTTATAAGGCATGTCCTCCACTGCGAAAAAAATAGTCGCAAAGAAGACCATGAAGCTTGTGACATATATGTCTACGAATTATGGATCTGATTCATAGCCTTTTTAGAATGAGTGTCTCACGAACATTGAACCTTTTAACGTGATCCCCTTTGTTTGCCTGCATGGCAGGAAGTGAAACGTGTCAAATTCATTACAAGAATGCATTCCGTGGAAATCGAAGTGCTATTCATCTCGACACGCCGCCCCGGCTCCGGGTTGACCACCGGTGTCGGTCGCCCCGGGCGGGTCACGTGGCCCCGCCTGCCGGACGCCGCCTGAGGTGAGCCCGCGCTGACGGCGTCGTTAGAACGACAAGCGAACTAGAGGCACCGTGCGCATTCCTCGCCCATTGCCTCTCTCCGCGCACGGTCCTCTGCGGCAGCCGAAGCCCTGCGCTGTTCGGCCGGCGCGGTGCTGGTCCCACGCGGCGCAGGGCTGAGATGCTGTCTGGATACGGGTCTCCGCGCCGTCAGCGGCACCTGGCGGCGGGCCGTCCGCCTGCTCCAGTGTTCCGTCAAAGTCGTCGTGTTCGGAGGCGGACGCGTCCGGTGATGTCAGGCCCTCCCCGCTCGCAGTTGCAGCTGCAGCTGGAGCCGGACTGAGGGGTTTCTCCAAACAGGTTTATTCTGTAGCCTCACAGAATAGTCTACATGCGACGCTATCTTGTAAACACCTCCGAAACGGCTGCTTGGCACATAGGGGATAGCGGTCACAAACACCTGACTCCAGTCGTAGGCTAACCTGGGCTATTTCAGCCGGCAGCCGACGGGTACAACTTACGCGTTAACTTGCGACTTATACGTTAACAATGAAACCGTTGCAATGCAACGTGATTTCGGACGTCCGATCTTGTCTCAATACACCCAACTACGCCGCTACAACAGTAAGCATCCAACAAGGCGGAATGTAAACCTCGGAACGTCGTCGAACACAGCGCACGGATTGCGGCAACATCGCCAGGAGGGCGAAATGCCCTGGAACGCACCTTACACCGCTAACGTTATGCAATACAAAACAATTTATCATGGCAGTTCTGGCATGGTTCTTGGCCGACACGGCAGACGTCCTGTCAGCACCGCTCTCCGGGCCAGCCAGGCGTTCCTTTCGGCACATATCACAGCGCTAAGTTCAGGTGTGGCGACCAATGTGTCACGTGCGACAGGTCAATGGGCCCGCCACTGCTCGTGGAGCTCCGCCCCGGCTCTCCGCAAGTCACCAGGGCCGCCAGTGGGCCTCATCCTCCGGTCCCCGGTTGTGCGCCACGAGGTCGAGCGGCCGCGGGCTGGGCGGCCGGCCCTCGGACGAGCCGAACGAGCCGCAGGACGAGGCGGGGCTGGCGGGCGAGCCGGCGTCGGTCGGCTCCCAGGAGGGCGGCGGACTCAGCGAGCCCACGCTGGAGCCAGTGGCGGTGGCGACAGTGGCGGCGGATGGTGGAGGAGGCGGCGGCGGCGGTGGGCGGTGCGGGGCCGCTCGGCGGCGCCGGCAGCAGCAGAGCCACCTGACCAGCCGCCAGAGGGCCGGTGACCAGCTGCAGCCGGCCCAGCCCGGCGCTGAGCGTCGGCACGGCCGCCGGCGAGCCCAGGTGCGCCAGCAGCCGTTGGCCCAGCGCCTGCTGGCCGTCCAGGCCGCGCTCGCGGCTGAGGAACTCAGCCACGGCGCGGCCACACTCGGCGTAGCCCTCCCGGTAGAGCGCCTGCGTGGTGCCCGGCCTTGTCTGTAGCGAACGCAGGTGCTTGACGGCCATCTCCAGGATGTCGGCTTTTTCCAACTTCGAGTGGCGCGCCGGGTCCTTCTTCAGCCCCTCCAGCACCAGGCTCTTCAGCTGCGTCAAACTGTCGTTGATGCGCGCGCGTCGACGCTTCTCCATGATCGGCTTGTTGATCTGAGAAAAAGAGACGGTAAGATTTAGGTGGCGTTTGCGTCGAATAAAGAAACAGCGCGCGATGATGAAGATAAACTTGGCTGGAAATTTGTATGTCATCAAATATGTTAATGGCAGTAGCGCATTCGAAAATTTCGGGTGGCACGTATGCCGCATCACAAAGCGCCCTTGCCTCCTGCGCTGTTCGACAGTGGTCGGCTCGGTAGCTCCAAGCTTCTTAAGTTCACTCGCCCCAACAGGCGTGTTCCTCCCCCCCCCCCCCCCCCCCACCCAACGACCACACACCTTCCATCAACGGCCTCTCCGTCTCCCTTCTGCTAAATCGGTTGCCTGTCCAAGTTAGTCCTTCTGACTCAATTTTGATACAGTGCACTGCTGATCCAACAAATTATAAGTGTACTTAAATCACGTCTATGAACCGGTGGTACATAAGTATTCATAGGAAACGAACAGCATCTAGGTGAAAACGCCCAGTAACCCAGCTCCAGTTCCGACCCCACGGTGCACCACGTTCTGAAGAGTGTCAGTCATGTTCCGTGCGGCCGGTTCGTGTGTGGGAATGACCGGCGGCGATCACCATCAAGCGAGTTACGTCCGGTACCAGCCGTGGGCACGATGTGGTCATGTCTCCGCCACAACACCGATGAGCTGTTTAGGGCACGCAGATCACGCTCGAGCTCGGGGGTATGGGCGGAGCACGTGGTGACCACGCTAGTGTCTGGTGTCTTTAGTCATGGCCAGTGACCACCATCGGGTCTAAGAGCCTCTCGTCGGCCGAGCTCACGTGCATGTCTCTAATTTTAATGCTCCATCGATACCGGCAAAACTCATTCTTTTCGAAAGAATGAAATATGCAGGTTGGTGGAGAAACTTGAAAATCATTTAATCACAGAATTCCTCGTCCCCGTAAAACCATTTTAATCACCGAATCCCTCGCGGCCCGTGAGAAGATACTTCTCACTCGCTTGCTCTGGAGCAACGTCCGAGAGGCGCCGCCCGTCCTCCGCGCCGGCACGCTGCACCTGTTATACGGCTCCCCAACAGGGGACCAAGGACGCAAGTACCTCCCGCCAACAACTTTGCCTAAAGCTTAACGCCATTGGCGTTGCATGTAGAGATATGACGTGTCTTAGAAGACCGTATGACCCTTCCCACATCTCCTCACCCGTGATAAAGGCTCTGCCACCAGCCACTTGTAACTACCACGCAGGCATGTTTAGGTTAGGCCGTGAAGCATTTCGACTCCCGAGCTACTTTTAATGAGCAGCGAATGTGCATGCAAGCTTGCTCTAACAACTAATCGTAATTATTTTACAGAACTGATGTGTATACGAGTTTGATTTAGTAGGTAACTGCACTATGACACCACCACGCCTGACTACGAGAACAGACGTGCACTCCAAGACGTCAGCAATGCGCGGGATGTTAAACGAGAGATAGAAACGGCTTAGCATCCCCTTCACACCAAAAATGCATTTTCAAAATCGGCCGGACGGCGATTGCAAACACAAGTGTTCATTCAGCTCACCCGCCTATGGTCTGCAGATTTGTCATCGCTCGGCATCTTGCTGGCGGTCGTGCAAAACCCAGCCTCAACTTGCCAAACAATCGCGCCCGACAACGGCGTCTGGTACCGGTCTTCCCCGCTTCCCGCACCACCCCTCGGCGTACCGGCCGGCACGCGACTGGCGGCCGGCCGGCGGCGCGCGCGCGCGCGGGCGGCTTCGGCTCCGGCCACGCGACGGCGCCCCCTGGGCCGGTGGTGACGTCACGGCGGCGCCGGAAGCCGGTGGTGGCGCGTGTCGGGCGGCCGGCGCGCCCGCGAGACGGCCGGGCGCGCCGGCGCGCCGAGCCGCGCCGGAAGAGGCACGAGGCCGCCTCCGCGCCGGCCGAGGCGGAGGCGGGCTCGAGCACGGCAGCGCGGCCGGCCGTCCTGAGCAGTGGTTCGTTCTTTACAAGAATTGGCTCGACAGAGATTGTAAAAGCTGCCAGTCACATTGGCACCTCGCATGAAAGGAAAATGTAAGACATGAAAATGTACGGCTCCATTTGCACCATGTAAGCACGAACGCATGCATCATGACTGGAGGCGTGGGCCCTTCCTGTTGCATCGTGATATGGGAGATTCCCAACCGTAATTCAGTCATCGTACCACGAATGTACGGTGTTGGCAGGTGATTTTAGTTTGAATGGCCGAATAAAAATATATGTCAGTAGACCCTGCCCATGTGAAACTTAACGAAGTTCCAAAGACTCTGCGAGTGTATGTACGGAGAACATTGAAGAATATGATTATCTTTGCTCCTGTATTCAGTGGCGCAGGCGGGGGGCCGTAGGGGGCATGCTCCTCTCCCCGTCAGGTCCTGACGGGCCCGAAGGTCTGGCCAGAGGTCGTATTAAGAGCCCTCGGCCCGCAGGGCCGAGCCCTCAAATGACAGTCAGTAGACCCTTTGCGCCGATTGGGACCCCTGGGTTGAAAGGCACGGCCCTCCATGCCGGTCAGGCACCACGGCCCTGAACAGTCGGTTTCGTGTCGGTATGGGCCTGAGGGCTCGTTTTCCCAAGCAGGGACAAGGCCGCCGGTACCCGCTGTTTACAATGGTCGGAGTCCCTGAGCCCTTGGCAGGCCTCCTGTGTCGGCCAGGGACCCGCATGACCTTACCTACAGGGCCAGGGGGTCCTGTGCTGGCAAGGGACCCAGAGTCGGCCAGAGGCAGTGCTCGAGGGTCCCGTTAAGGGGTCCGAAGGGTCCTTGGGAATGACGACCAGATCCGATTGGAGGGCTGAAGGGCCCGGAAAGTCTCAGGGGCTGACTGTAGGTCGGTTAAAGGACTCTGGCACGTAAGACAGTGACCTCAAATGCCAGTCAGAGGGTCTCTTGCACTGACTGGCGACCCCTGGGACAAATTTGGTCTTCATTTCGGTCACGGACCACCAACACCGAAAAGCTGGCTCGGTGACGGTCTGAGTCCTGATCCTGATAGTCCATTTTCCAAGGAGGGATGAGGCCATGGCCCACGATGTGAACTGGTAGGGCTCCTGAAGTAATGAGCGAACTTCATGTGAACTCTATGTCTGGCATGTCTCACAGTGCCTAACAGGTGGTCGTGCGTCGGCAATAGAGTCCGAGTCAGCCAGGGGAACATTACTGAACAGAAACAGGGACGGGACACCGAATTCCAGAGGGCCTCTGAACGGCCCGGTCAGATGACCTCCTACGCCAGGAAGGGGATCAGTGTATGATGTATCGCTCTCAGGGCCTCCAGATCGACCAGGGGACCCGCCCCCTGCCGCCAGAATGGCAGCTGTTGGATATCCTGCGCTGGAAGATGGGCCTTCAGCCCTTGACCGGGAACGAAAGCGTGCTCCCTATTGTTCTATCCACATAGCCCCTTGCCCAGAAAATGGCTAGGGACCTGTCAATGCTCTACAGAGTGGATCGAAATGAGATTTGAAGTGAAAAAGGCAAACCCATGCTTGCATGAGAATGACGATTATTTTGTAGAATCGGCTATTGCGACGAAGTGCACCAAAAGGCTGTGAATCCGTCCGCTCTCAGCCTTAGAAGCAGGAACATCGATGGCTGGAATGACAGTTTTCGTAAAATCGAACGGCGTCGGCCACCGCAAATAGGATCAGGCGGCGGGCGCCTGGTGCGAGAACGGCCGTCATGCAACTACTTCAAAAAGTCTTTCAGAATTAATTCGTACCGTTCAAAGATCAGACTGCTTAGACACTGGAGTAGAAGCCAGAAGCTACCGGTAGCTTTTGGCTTCTGCTCCAATTAAAGAAGGTAAAAATAAAAATGTGAATCAAATCATGCCCCAAATCCAGTGCCCGAAGTCGATCCCGCAGTCGAGTGAGCCATGTCAGGTGATTTTTGGGGGAGAGGGGGGACTTAACTACCAGGGGGCCTTTTGTCCAAGCATGTGCCCCACCACTCCTTTAAAAGACTTCTAGCTGCACCCGTACCCTGTCTAAATCCATACCTCAGTTATGCATTTGAAATTTCACAGAATGACGAGGTATTAGTACCACATATGACTGATTGTTCGGACTACTGTGCTCGTCTGGTGTGTTATGATGTGCGTGTATATACTAACACGCCTGACGGGGACGGCAGGCCGAGCATTTATGACATCCGTGATCTTTGACGCTGTTTGGTGGCAGTAAACTGCAGTGCGAAGTCGCAGACGCCTCGCAGCTCGCACCATACTTAGCACCTGCACTAAGGCTGCCCACGAGCAGTTTTTCCTTGTCACACTGCATGCCTGCTGGTGTTAAGAAAGTCTGTTTATGAGAGCACTTAGGTCATACTCATTGCCCGATAGTGCTGTGCGATGCAGGGTGTCACGATATGTGTCACGGGTGATTGTGATCACATCTTAAGCTCCACAACCGTGTAGTCCATGTTTGTGCGCTCTAAGCAGTCACTCTGTTTAAGGGTGTGGTTTCCCTGCTCCGTTGGTGCGGTCGAGCTTCAGCTCCTCAGCTTAATAAAAAGGGGCTAAATCCGGAAGAAAGCCGCTTTTGGGGCATTCTGAGGGTAGGTTAAGCTACTATTTTCACTGCTCAGCCCCCCTCCCCCTAACTAACTTAGCGCGACTACATACCTCCCTGATCTGTCTGTCCATACCGGGCGGACGTCTCGCAGTCTGTCCACAGCAGGCATACATCGTCACACTGCCTGTCCACTCCAGGCGTCCACCGCCACCCTGTCCGTCCACACAAGGCGCGCGCAGTAATCAACCTGTCTGTCCTCTCCAGGTGTACGTCACCAGCTTGCCTGTGCTTACTGAGCGTTCGTTGGCAGCCCCTCTGTCACACCAGTCTCCCACCAAGGAACCCCATCAAGGATTATCTATCGCCGCCGATGTGCCGCACTTTGTCTGCCTCGGTCTGCGCCGTTGGCCCTCTGAGGCTGTCAATCATGCGCTCGCCGGGATCAGCCGGCACTGACGCTTTGTTTGGGTGAAGGAAAGGCCCAGACGGTGTGAGGCCAAGCAACGCTGTTCAACAACGAAACCACGCCTCCCCAAATGAGCCCGCTTGGGAGCAGTCTGTGCTGAGTATGTGTTCGTTTTGAATGGCATTTACGGTTTATATCAATGATTTTGATTGGTAAGCGGTCAAAAGCAACCATATTCTGATTCTGAACGGAGAGAATGTCTAATAGTACGCTTCTCCACTTTGAGCAGCCATGAAAATTGCTCCCGACACAACTGCCTATTCCAGTGTTACTCCTTTTCACTCAGGTATGCTCCCAGGAATAGCGTTTATTCTGGGTTCGAGTGCACTGCGCATAATTCATGACGTTCCCGAGAGCGAAGCGAACCCAGGAAGACCGTCCGCCTGCCCTAAACGTCCGTCACCGGTTTTATAGTCGCCTCTGAATGATATACTGTGGGGTAATGAAGAAGGGACGCCCGCTGGCTGCGGCCATGTCCTGCCTCCGTCTCTCCCCCTCTTCCTCTCCCTCCTCCTCTCTCCCTCTCCCCGCTGTCCGCGTGACAATACGGCGGGAGAGGCGGCACACGAGGCCAATATCCGTCTCTCTGTCGGTCGCGCTGCGCCATTATCCCCGGCCGCCTTTAATCTGCACCAGAATGCTGTTTACTCCCTGGGGAGGCGGCGCGCCTGCGCTGCCGCTTCGCCGCCGGTCGCCGAGCCTGGCGCCGGACGGCTCGCCGGACGCCGGCCGGCGCGCCCGACCGTTGTGAGCGTCACAGCGGGGGCCGGCGAGTGAGCGGCCGGCGCTGGAGGCCGCTCGGGCCAGATGCGGCCGCCGCAGCGGCCCGTCACAGTGCATTTCGGATGTGGCGAGGGTGCCAGCTTTCCGTTTTCTGATTGCTTTACTCGAGTGCGGTGTTAAAATTTGAAATTTCCCTTGCGGCGCTAAAGCTCATCTGGCTCCAATGTTGTTGGTAGTGAAAATAGAGACTGTCTACAGTAACAGCGCGTGTTTCCATTTCCCTGCGCCCACTGCGGGTAAATATTGTACTCCGGCACAGGGGCGTCATGTGGCTGTTTTGCCTGCGGTTTCACAACAATTCGGGACAGAATGTTGAGAAATATATTTTTCTCTTCAGCGGCAATTTCATTTGAGTTCCCTTAGAAACTTAAATCGTTCGTTTAGGTTGACCGTCATCAAAGGATTTTGGGAAAGACAAGGTATGCCAATTTTTTGTCCATTCATTGGCGTCTTGCCGGATATATTCTGTGAGATGATATCGACAAACTTTGCAATTGGGTGTACGTTCAGAGCCATATATACATATATGTATATATATATATATATGTATATATATATATATGTATATATATATATATATATATATATATATATATATACACATATATACCAGAACACCGTTGAATGTTTGGCTTTTAGCATATTCGGTTTCTTTCGAACAATTTTTTTCAGTAATATTTTCATCATAATAGGGAGTTTCATCATAAAAGTCAATTCTGAAAGCGTTTGTATAAATACTAAAAAAACACGCTAAGCACGCGCTATCTGGCGAGTTTTGGTGAAAAGCTGAAGGAATTTAGACTAGTGTCTTTCACACAATCGTTGTGGTCTGGGAGCTAGAGATGCAGGCCTCCGTCCCCGCGCTCAGCGGCTAGACACGCTTCTTACGAGGCATCAGATGTGGTCATTATTGA